GTCAACCTGAAGGTCCCAACCGTGGTGTCTTGGTCAATGTGAAGGTTCTAACTTGGTGTCTTAGTCAACATGAAGACCCTTAGTCAACGTGGAGGCCCCAACCATGGTGGGTTAGTCAACGTGAAGACCCCAACCATGGTGGGTTAGTCAACCTGGAGGCCCTTAGTCAACATGAAGGCTCCAACCATGGTGGGTTAGTCAACGTGAAGACCCCAACTATGGTGCCTTGGTCAACCTGGAGGCCCTTAGTCAACGTGGAGACCCCAACCATGGTGGGTTAGTCAACCTGGAGGCCCTTAGTCAACATGAAGGCTCCAACCATGGTGCCTTAGTCAACCTGGAGGCCCTTGGTCAACATGAAGGCTCCAACTATGGTGCCCTGGTCAACCTGGAGGCCCTTGGTCAACGTGAAGACCCTTGGTCAACCTGGAGGTCCCAACCGTGGTGGGGCCGGCCCCCCTCACCTGGCAGGAGTCGACGCCGCCCTCGGGGACGCCGGCGCAGAACATGTTGGGGGTGATGGAGCTGCCGTAGGCCCGGGCGCACTGCGGCCTCCCGAAGGCCACGATGCCGGCGCACTGCAGCTCCTTGGGCAGCTGGGCTGCGGCGCGAGGAGGACCGCGGTGAGGAAGGCGGGAGGAGGAGGAGGGGGGGCTTGGGCCATTGGAGATGGCTCCTTGTCCACCACGAAGGAAACTCAACCCAATGACCCAACCAGAAGACCCAACCAGAAGACCCAACCAGAAGCCATTCCCATTGGGAACCCCTCTCTGGGCAGAGTCACCCCCACTCGAGAAGACCWGGAGCAGATGCGACCTCCTTGGAGACCCCGTTTCCCGCCTCGGTGGGCCTCCTTGTGCCCCAAAGACCCCAAGAAGGTGCCCCAAACCCCCAAAGAAGATGCCCAACCCTAAAGAAGATGCCCCAACCCCCAAAGAAGGTGCCCAACCCCAAAGAAGAGGCCCCAAACCCCAAAGAAGATGCCCCAACCCCAAAGAAGGTGCCCAAACCCCAAAGAAGATGCCCCAACCCCAAAGAAGATGCCCAAACGCCAAAGAAGGTGCCCAAACTCCAAAGAAGAGGCCCCAACCCCCAAAGGAGGAGCCCCAAGCCCAAAGAAGGTGCCCAAACCCCAAAGAAGATGCCCCAACCCCAAAGAAGAGGCCCCAAACCCCAAAGAAGGTGCCCAAACTCCAAAGAAGAGGCCCCAAACCCCAAAGAAGATGCCCCAACCCCAAAGAAGGTGCCCCAAAGCCCCCCAGAAGGTGCCCATGAGCCGGTACCTCCAGGGGACTTGGTGGTGCCCCAGCCCGAGACGCTGCACCTCATGCCGCCCGTGGGGCACCGGGTGGCCAGGCGGATCTTCTTGACGCTGCCGCCGAAGCGCACGGGCCGGTCGAGCCGCAGCAGCATGAAGTCGTTGTCGTTGCGCCGCGGGTCGTAGGCCGGGTGGACGATGAACTGGGCGATGCTCCTCACCTGGCCGGTGCCGTCGCGCAGCGTGTCCGTCCCCACCAGCACCCGGATGTCCCTGCCCCGTGGAGGGACGGGCTGAGCCGCTCGGCGCCGGGAGGGGCCAAGGGAGCTCCACCATGGCCGTGGCCAAGGGTGGCCCGAGGGTTCTCCATGGGGAAGGGCTCGGGGGGTGGAGCTAAAAGGTGGCCCTGGGACCACCTTGTGCCATCTCCTTCCAGGAGGAGAGCAGGAGGACCCGGAGCTGGGTTGTTGTTGGGGTTGGGTTGATGGGGTTGGGTTGTTGGGGTTGGGTTGTTGTTGGGGTTGGGTTGATGGGGTTGGGTTGTTGGGTTGGGTTGTTGGGTTGGGTTGTTGGAGTTGGGTATTTGGGGTTGGGTTGTTGTCGGGGTTGGGTTGTTGGGTTGGTGTTGGTGTTGGGTTGTTGGGGTTGGGTTG